TCAAATGACGTATAAAGTAGAATTTGTTGACAAAAAGAGTTTGGTTTTATGGTATTGTTCCGGTCCTATGTGTCTATTCGATGGCGGAGCCACGTTGAGTTCAATGGAGCACTAAAATTTTCTATCATTTGTCCCCACTTGAGTTCATCTCCCTCTTCGCCTGAAGCCCCCTCAGAATCCCTAGCCCCCATCTCATCTCTCCCATTTGTTCAACCCCATCACCACCGCGAGCCACACCCTCTCTCTTTCTCTGTATTTTCTGGCACCATCTCAAGCAGTTGCGCCTTCAGCAACTCCAGCGAGCTCTTGGCCTCATCAGCTGAGCCTCCTTCTCCATCGTAGGTCTCGTTCTCCATCTCGGTCTCTCTCTCTTCTCAAGTCGTTTTACGGCCAAGGAGAACTCGCCACTGCAAGTGCCGACGATCGCTACAACTTCCGGCGACTTTTCCGTATGGGTTTTATTTTATTTTATTTTTCTAAAATCAACTAATCAAGGTCGGTAAACAACTTCCGTTGACTTTTCCGACGATCTCTGCAACTTCCGGCGGCTTTTCCGTATGGGATACTTTTGTCATTAGCTCCCTTTCTCTCCAAATCCCTCCATATCTTGTCAATTTTGGAGGGATTCCAAATGAGGGATTTGGAGGGATAGCTATCCCTCCAAATCCTTCCAAATCATTTCTTTCCCCTTCAAATCATCTCATCCAAACACAACACTCCTTATCATTTTCTTTCCAAATCCCCCCATATCTTTCCATCCAAACAAAGCCTTAGGGAACTAATGCAGTGTACACCCACAAAGCATATTGTTATGAGATTTATATGTACCACTCGCAAGTACACGAAGATAGGGTTTACTTGTAAGGTTGTCGTACCCAAGGAACTTATGTAAATTAAGTTTGTCAACATATTTCTTAAATTCCAAAATTAACTTGAAAGTAGGATAATCGAATTTCTCTTATTAATTCTGAATTAACTAAGTAGAAAAATAAACTAAAGAACAATGATTGAACATGATGTAGAAAATAGAGAGAGGACTAGGGGTATGATTTCACCATTAACGTCGCACCACCAGTCAATTGCATCAATTTATTGGAGATATATCATATAACATGCATAGGGAATTAATCATTGCTACAAGCACATATTCATTCAGCTAGAAAATAATATAATTTAAAGCTAAGCATGGACTATCTTCGATTGGTATAAACCATCTACCTAACTTCTTTACTCTAGGGTGTAACATGGTCGATTTTTTCTATGCATAATTCATCAAATCTCTAACATTATATTCAGATAAGAACCATTGTGTAATCATCTCATTCATAATTACAAGAAGCGAATGAGTTGTGTTCAATTACAAGATTAAAATATCTAAGACAAGATAGAAAAATATTTGTAATTGAATTAAAACTCTAAAATCGATTCTTATTGAAAATTCAATTAAAAACCTTATAGATTACACAATCATGCATGATAAAAATTATTCTCCAATAATTAAATGCAATCAAACCAGGGCGCTAAGCTAGGGCTACATCACAACCCTAGCAAAGCGTTTAGCCAAGCATGATTGGAGTGAAATTCTTCATGGTTGAGGAAGACATCTTCACCGCCATGGATCGATCCCTTCCTTCTTCTGAATGCTCCTCTCTGATCTCAGCCTCAAGCTCCTCTGTATCCTCCTTCAATGTTGTAGAGGACCCCCTTTAAATAATAAAAGATCAGCCCTAAAGTTCCCTTTTTCATATAGGAGACATACATAGAAATTCTGGCAAATAAGGACTCCAAAATTCGTACAGACTTTTAGGCCAATTTTGACAAGGTAAACAGCTATTTTAGGGAAAGCTCATGAACACAAAATTGTAGCTCTTCGAATTTCTTATCAACCTACGTGAGAATTTAGCTGTTTTGACGCTCGAGGAGAGAGATACAGCCAGATTACTAAAACGGGTTTAAGTTACCAACTTTGGCGACAAATCCTCTTTGGAGAATGATTTTTCATTTTCTTCTTCTTTCCATTCTCATCAACTTGTAGCTTCTTTTGGACTATTTTCTAAGTATAATTAGACTTGGATCTTCAACATTGCTCGGTCCCACGGAATGTCATCTTTTAAAGCTCAGAATTACTGGTCTTGACTGATTTTACAATTAAAGCCCTGAAATAAATAAAAACAATAAAACAATGTAAATTCACAAATAAACTATTATTAAGAGAATAAAACATACGAATAGAGAGGCTAAAATGTATAACATTCAGCACCTAACACACCCCCAAACTTACGTATTGCTAGTCTCATAGTAATGAAACTAAAGAAAACATAAATGCCGCTTTTGTGGGAATCACGATTGCATTTAGCATATGCAACAAGCCTTTTAAACCCCTAAGTTACCCCTAGTGGACGAGTGAAGTCTCGAGAGGGTTTCCAGAGATGATACCCACAAACATACAACACAATTCAATCCTCTGACAATCAACTTATTCTCATATCATCATAATAATCAAGGGAAAGACTACATGAAAGTACTTTAAAAATTATCATCTGACTATACTCTTTTGTCCCTATTTTCATATTTCATCCCAATGTTTCTCACACACTTATATAACAAGAAAAATAGCAAAATCAATCCCCAATGTTGTGAAATTTGTGAACTAGCAAATCACCTATGTAGTAATGTCTTTTCAATTGAACCCAAAGCCCCGATTACTCCATGAAAGGGTTACGAAATATATAAATATATATATTTTTTCTTTTTTTTTCTTTTCTTTTTTTTTTTTTTTTTCAATATTTCTGCCATAGTAATAACCTTCAAAGTTCACCGATTCATATTCATCCATAATCATCAGAATATAATAAAAAAATATAAATACCTATAGATAAAATTCTAGTGTGCGTGTGAAATCCATCAGGGACCGACAATTACTAAAATTCCTATCATACTAGATAATAGAACCCACATAAAATAAAGCACGAAAATTAGGGATTCAAGACGATCTCAAAAAAAAAAAAAAATTAAAAAGTACTTAAGTGTCTTAATACCCCCAACAATTCTCAAATACTTGAATTAAAGTCAATATGCCAAATTATTTTTTTATTTTTTTTATTTTTAATTTAAGTACTAGAGTATTGTAATACAACTAAAGTAGACGCTATACCCTCGAACTGAATTGGACAGTGTCCTCACTGGGCAAAAATCAAAAGCAAGAAAATAACAATAAAAAATAAATAATAAAATAAATATAAAATACTAAGAAAAACGAAGAACAAAAGCACCTAGCAGGATATCGAGAATTGAGGCGACGGAGCATCGGGATTAAGCCCGTAGTGAATCATAAGAGCGCACATCTTGTCCATCATCGATCTTTGATCCTGACGAATCATCCTTTGGTCCTCAAGAATTTCTTGAACTTCAACTCGGAGTTGGGTTACCTTACCAACCAAGTAATCAGGTGTTCATCAATGTCATCAGCGGCAGCTTGATGAATAATCATTCATAACCCAACAATCAAGGAATAAACAATCACCCAAATAATGCCTGTTAACAAAATCCCAAACTTACTCAGTTGCAATACCACCCACAAATTATAATTCACTATTCAACCAAGTGCAACAACCCAATCAACCACTAAAAAACAACCAAACTCCCAGTCACCACAAATATCAGCCCCAAACTTTTGTAATTAACAATCTAAATCCAAACACTCCAGTCACAATTTTGGATCATTGTGCTCACAACCCAAAAGTTCATAAAACACTCACAAGCCATCACCTCTCTGTAATGAATCAATCAATATTAACACCCATAGAAAATTATGCGGATCATTTGTAAAACACCAAATTCACAATCCCAATTCAGCCACTATAATTGACGCTGTAATCAACAACCAAACCATTCCGGTCGGAGAAAAAACCAACTACCGCTGCTACCTATTGTTGTCGCATTGTCATGAGCGACTGTTGCTATGTGGAGCCGGGTGATGGTCTATAGTTATCGCCGAAAGAAATTTTCGACCGATGGTCCAGGATGCTGGTTGTAGCCAGATATTTGTGTGGCTGAGCGATGGTCGCCTCCTCGCCGGGCGATCATTCACCCAGCAGCCACTATCCTATTCGTCGCTGAGTCGCCAAGGGCGACTATCACCTCCAAGTCGGGCGATCTTGCGCCCGGCACTGCTACTTTCCCGAAAAAAATCCTACCCGGGCGATCATTCGCCCGGGCCTGCTGCTAATCCGAATTTTTTTTTTTTATTTTTTTATTTTTAAGGAAAATTTCAAACGGCCATAACTTTAGCATCGGTGGTCCGTTTTGGACGAATTTTTTTTTTTCATTTTGGGTATTTTTTCGAGATTTATGCGATGCAACCTGCCATAGGCGGTTTGGTTGATGTTGAGGCCCAAAAAATGCTTTGTTCTGCTCCAAACAAACTTTTTTTTCTTTTTATGCCATGGAAATTTTTTTATTTTCTTCGAAACAAGCATGACTTGTAATCCTGCATAAGTAACTAAAAATCCTACGAAACACATTAAATCTTCTTCCTAATATACTAAAACAAAAGATAAAATTAAGAGCAAAAGAGAAAAATAAAATAAAATAAATACATAGATGAAAAATCCTATATACAATTCCTACATTTAACGTCGGTAGGCGACGTGATACCTGGATGATTAGGTGGAGTAAATGAGATCCGTTAAAGTGACGGATTCAACTCCTTTTGTAGGCACAGAATCGTCAATATACCAATCCTTCCAATCCGGTCGAACGGTCTTCTTTCTTGACGCCTTCCAATTCATAAAATCAGCATACCATGGTGGAGTCTCCTTCTGAAGTTGAAATAGCTGCATATCCGAGAATAAATTATGCAATGGAAAAGTGTTTTCTGGCCCAAGATATGCATACTTCAAATGAGAGGGTAACGACTTCAGCTCTAACTCTGGTGGAGACTTCAAAGATGCCATAGGTGGTTCACTTAACAATGGTAGAAGTGGCTCAATAGGAATTTTTCATAGTGGAATGTTATGCATATTGGCTCCATCAAGAATGACATTTACTTCTTCAATGCTTTTGTCGACATCAAAAGACTCGGTATCAAAGTAAGATAGGCATGCTTCCAGTGGATCTTTTGTCAAGACAAATGGGACCATCTCTTCAACACATTCATCGATAGAATCGACAAGAAAACAATCCTTATCATCTAAAGGGCAATTACTGGCATTGAAAATATTTAAGTGCACCTTCATATTACCAAAAGATACGTCCATGACGTCTGTCCTATAATTTATGCTCGCATTTGCTATTGTAAGGAAAGGACGACCAAGGATCACATGAGTGTGCCTCCTTGGTTCTGAAACGGGCTCGGTATCTAGCACAATAAAGTCAACTGGGAAATAGAATTTATCTACTTTGATAATAACATCTTCGATGACACCACGAGGTTGTTTGGTTGACCTATCTGCTAATTGGAAAATAATTGAGGTAGATTTTAATTCTCTTAATCCGAGTTGTAAGTAAACCGAATAAGGAAGAAGGTTTACACTTGCACCCAAATCTAGAAGAGCTCGCTCTACTTGATGATTCCCTATTGTGCATGAAATTGTTGGAGCGCCTGGATCTTTGAATTTTGGAACAGTGCAGTGCTGGATTATGGAACTGACTTGCTCAGTTAATAGTACCTTCTTAGGAATATGGCTACTTGAACGCCTCTTCTGAGTACACATATCTTTCAAAAATTTGGCGTAAGCTGGAATTTGCTGAATTGCATCAAATAATAGGAGATTAATCTTCACCTGTTTGAACATCTCCATTATGTCATGAAGTTTGCTTTGCTGCCTTTGATGTTTCTTGTAGTCTCTGAGGGAATGGCACAACAACATACCTTTGTTCTGGAGATGGCTCAGTAGTTGGAGGTATTTCTTGTGCTTTTTCATTTTGCTCCTTTTTCTCTTTAAGTCTTTTCTTCCAATTTTCATCTTTCTTCGCTTCCTCTTCTTCCACTTTATTTTCAATTCTCTTATCACTTCTCAGAGTAGTAATTGCTTGCACTTGTTCATGGTGAACTTCTTGGCCAGTAATGCCATCAATTATACACACACCTCTTGGATTAGCTACTGATTGACTAGGAAGTTTGCCATCCTTTCTTCTGTTCAAGGCTTGAGCTAGTTGGCCAACTTGAGTCTCGCAAAGGATGGAGAATGAGACTGCACAAGTTGATTAGTTGGCTCTAACTGCTTTGCCATCATTGCCTCGAGCATTAATAAGAATTGTTGAGGTTGACTGAAGGCATTCATAGGAGTGAATCCTTGAGAATTTGAAGTCTGAACTGGAGATTGAAAATTGCCTTGCACTTAAGGTACTTGAGGTGAAGGAGCTGATGTCCCTGTGGCTGGATTTCTCCATGAGAAGTTAAGATGGTTTCTCCAAGCCGGATTGTAAGTGTTTGAATACATATTATTCCCTCCGGGCCTTCCATATGTAGCATTAACTTGCTCTTGTTGAATTTCTGAATATTGAGATGCACTTGGACAAATGGACACATGGTGAGTTGGACTGGAACAGAAAGAACACACTTCAAAGCCTTGAATATTAGTCGCAGGAGGAATAAAATTTGACTGTGAAGTCATCAATTGATCAACCTTCTTGGTTAATGCCTCAATTTGGCTCACTAGCCTTTGATTTATCCTACTTCATTCACACATTCTGCTCTCCTCAATATGGTAGGAGGTCTTGCTACTGGAGGTAAGACATGTTATGTAGAATTATCAGATATATTTTCGAAGAGCTGTCATGTTTCCTCTACACTTTTCAACATAAAATTTCCACCACAAGAGGCATCCACCATATACCTTTGTGCCTCATTAAGCCCCTTATGAAAGAAGTTGACAAGCTGCCATTTTGGCATGTCATAATGAGGACACTTCCGAAGGAGGTCTCTGAATCTTTCCCAAGCCTCATGAAAAGGCTCGTCAGGCCCTTGAGCAAAACGAGTAATAACATCTCGATATTGAGTAGTTCTCACCATGGGAAAGTACTTGTTTAAAAACTTTTGTTGCAATTCAGCCCATGTAGTGATGGTGTCGGCTGGCCATGAATTAAACCAGTCCTTGGCCTTGTCCTTTAATGAAAGGAGAAAAGGTGTAGCTTGAGCACATTATCGTCAAAACTCTGGATTTTTATTGTTCTGCATACCTCTGCAAAGTCATCCAAGTGCCGATATGAATCCTCTTTTGATAGGTCGTAAAAAAAAGGTAGTAACTGAAGAGTACTGGCTTTAATTTCGTAGTGAGGGGCCCTCACTTGAGGATACCGAACTGCAGATGAAGAGTTATATGCACCTGGTTCGTAGTGATCCTTTAAACAACGAACTACTTCTGCAATTGGTAAATCATCCGCCATCTTTTCTTTCTTCAAGTTTCTGAGAGTTCTTTCAATTTTTAGGTCTAATGGAAGCCAAGGAAGTGACAAAGAACGTCTACCAAGCATATAATGTCACCTACAATAATTAAAACAAAATAATATGAAAATAAAGAAATAAATTAAATTAAATTAAAATCCTAAACTAAGATCCTAATTGAAATTAATTGTAGAATTTAATATTATCTGTCAAGAACTAAAACAAATCCCCGGCAACGGCGCCAAAAACTTGTTGTGAGATTTATAGTACCACTCGCAAGTACACGAATCTTTGCAGATAGGGTTTATTTGTAAGAGTGTCGTACCCAAGAAACTTGTGTAAATTAAGTTTGTCAACAGATTTTTTAAATTCCAAAATTAACTTGAAAGTAGAATAATCGAATTTCTCTGATTAATTCTGAATTAACTAAGTAGAAAAATAACTAAAGAACAATGATTAAATATGATGTAGAAAATAGAGAGGACTAGGGGTATGATTTCACCACTAACGTCGCACCACCAGTCAATTGCATCAATTTATTGGAGATATATCATATAGCATGCATAGGAAATTAATCATGGTTACAAGCACATATTAATTCAGCTAGAAAATAATATAATTTAAAACTAAGCATGGACTATCTTCGATTGGTATAAACCATCTACCTAACTACTTTACTCTAGGGTGTAGCATGGTCTATCTTTTCTATGCATAATCCGTCAAATCTCTAACATTATATTCAGATAAGAACCATTGTGTATCATCTCATTCACAACTACAAGAAGCGAATGAGTTGTTTTCAATCACAAGATTAAAATATCTAAGATAAGATAGAAAAATATTTGTAATTGAATTAAAACTCTAAAACCGATTCTTATTGAAAATTCAATTAAAAACCCTATAGATTACATAATCATGCATGATAAAAATTATTTTTCAATAATTAAATACAATCAAACCAGGGCGCTAAGCTAGGGCTACATCATAACCCTAGCAAAGCGTTTAGCCAAGCATGATTGGAGTGAAATTCTTCATGGTTGAGGAAGACATCTTCACCGCCATGGATTAATCCCTTCCTTCTTCTGAATGCTCCTCTCTGATCTCAGTCTCAAGCTCCTTTGTATCCTTCTTCAATGTTGTAGAGGACCCCCTTTAAATAATAAAGATCAGCCCTAAAGTTCCCTTTTTCATATAAGAGACATACATAGAAATTCTGGCAAATAAGGACTCCAAAATTCGTACAGACTTCGAGGCCGATTTTGATAAGGTAAACAGCTGTTTTAGGGAAAGCTCATTAAACACAAAATTGTAGCTCTTTGAATTTCCTATCAACATATGCAAGAATTTAGTTGTTTTGACACTCCAGGAGAGAGATACAGTTAGATTACCAAAATGGGTTTAAGTTACCAACTTTGGCGACAAATCCTTTTTGGAGAAGGATTTTTCATTTTCTTTTTCTTTCCATTCTCATCAACTTGTAACTTCTTTTGGACTATTTTCTAAGTATAATTAGACTTGGATCTTCAACATTGCTCGGTCCCACGGAATGTCATTTTTTAAAGCTCAGAATTACTGGTCTTGACTGATTTTACAATTAAAGTCCTGAAATAAATAAAAACAATAAAACAATGTAAAATCACAAATAAACTATTATTAAGAGAATAAAACATACGAATAGAGGGGGCTAAAATGTATAACATTCAGCGCCTAACACATATATAAGGTATTACAAGAATCGTCTACATCGAATCTATCACGACCTAAAAATTCTAATAAAAGCCTCAATTCATTCAAATCCAAATACATCAAAATACACCATGATCATATAAAAATGTCCTCTTTTATACAAAATCAATTTCCTCAAATATACACAAAAAATCTCCAAATAAATAAATTAAATCCTGCAACACCAACTCTTCAGCTTAAGCTCGAATCTAGCAATCCCCGTTCATATTCAGTACTTAAAACTGGAAGGTAGTGAGACAAAAAGTCCTAGTAGGAAAAACCATAACAAGAATTTTATAGAGGTGTAATAAAATAGTTTCACAAAATATACATATTCATGTGAGTATATAAATAAAAATACATATGCATTTAATTAAAACATTTAATAAAAACCATTGAAGCAAGACTACCCCATGCCATTCAAAGTATAGAGAATCCTACATTGAAAAAGAAATATTCATCACTGAATCATCAAAACCTCAAGCTCCGGTATCCTCTGCAAACTTTCGGCTCACCCTGTCTCTCTCTCTGTGTGAGCTCTCGACTCACTGTTTCTCATCTCAACTCTCTCTAATTTCTCTATCTTCTTTGCTCTCTTTCTTTCAATACCCATCAATGCGCAAAACACTAGTTATATAGATACTTCCACCGACACCATATCCCAATATAGCTCAGCACCTTATCTCTTACTTTCCCTTGTCATTTCATTCCTTTTTATACAATAATACACTCTTTCCAAACACATCAAACCAAAGCCCACGTGAAGGCAAAACAACCCATAATTGGGCCTGCCAAAAAGCATCATCACACAATGCTTTCTCTCTTTCCCACTTCGACTACTCCCTTTTATCTCATTAGATGACAAACATACTATATATATAAAAAATCAAAGGAACACTTTAAACATCATTTAAGTAGGACCCACCAAAACCACATTTCCATATTTCTTTCACTCATCATTTCGGCCACTGCACCCTCACTCCATCAGATTGCATAAATATATATACATATATATATACAATGAAACAAAACAAAATCCCCATTAAATATCCATTCCTTGTGGGCCCCACGTACACATTTCCATCTCAATTTCTTTCTTTCTTTTCGGCACCACCTGCTCACTTTCTTTCAGACAAAAATAATATTCAACAACAAACTTAACCCATTAAATCTTTCTATTAGTAAATTACCAACAAAAATTAAATACTCAATCTTGATAATTATAAATCATGAAATTAATATAAATTAAAATCCTGAAAATTCGGGTTGTCACATAATCTGAATGGGGAAGTAATCGAATCTGAATGGGGGGAAGTAATCGAATCTGAATGGAAAAGTAATTGAGTATATATGAGTTGAATGTTAAAACTACCTAATAATTTATATTTTTGGATCGAACTGCGAAACTTTAACCAAGATTATAGCTATTTCTCAATGTAAGAGAAAAAAACATTGAACTGGCTTAGACCTCATGAAGCCACGGGCAGACTGTACCATTTGCTTATCAAGCAACAGCAAATCGGAAAAGTTTACCACATTTCAAGACAATACAATTAAGCCTCTACAGATGACCAAGAGCATAGCTTAGTGAGATTCCTGGAGATCACTTGCAATTTTACGAACTTCCAAGTCTCTATGCAAATTTCAATGTTGTATCTCTCAACTTTCAATGATAGACAATAAACAATA